AGCTGTTCAAGCGTAACTGGGAATGTGATGTTGGAGGTGTTGAACCGAAGAAATTCATGAGCCAGCATGCTGTGGAAGAAACTTATGGGCTAGCTCAGAAAGCTCCACATCAAGCCTCCAGGAACTGCTTTTCTCAATGACCTCCTGTGATATCTGTGGGAGCAAGACTGCAGATGAATGCCTGTCCAATGAAATGCTCACTCTTCAGTAATAGTGTAGAATAAATGCTAGAGTTGTTTTGGTGGGAGCATGTGATGCTGGGCCAAAAGAGGAGGCAGGAGCCTTGCTAAAGAAGTTCAAAGTAACAACTATTTAAGAAAGTAAATGATCTTCAGATGTCATCAGCCAGCTGCATAAGCATCCTTTCTTTGCTGGGGGCTGCCAGTCTATTGCAAGGGTCTTCTCAGTCTCAGAGAGACCCAAAATTTTCAGCTCCTGGGTCAGGAAGAGAACAATTTCAATGACTTCTCCATCTTATTTCTTGGCTGTGAGAGTATTTGACAAAAACAATTTGCCTTTCTGTGATGTTCATCAACTCAAACTCTTTCCATTTTCTTCTTTTTCACTACATGATACTCACCTTAGCAGAACAAAACCTTTTGAAGGTGAGAAAAGTTAAGGTAAGCAGCTACTCTCATATGTTTAGTTCCCACAATAACAACACATTTTTTCACTTTTGACATGCAGTCCATTGTGCTCAGGGCTGAAAGACCCTGGACTTGGGAAGGTATTCACTTCACTATTCCGATTTCTGATGTCATGCTTATGGCAAGAGGAAAGATGGAGCTACATGCTACAAATACTTGAACTGATGGATTCATTGCAACCTGTTACATGACTGAAGCGTATACCAGTTCAGAATGTGACAGAAAATATTGTGGAAGAAAAATACATTGGCAACGATTATGCACAAAACTTCATGCATCTGAATCTGACTTACTGCTGGGAGGGCACACTAGTGGAGGTATAATATAAGCTTGCCCTGTTCTCTTGTCCTTCTTTTCCAGTCCTTTGCCTACGGCCACTACTGAAGATAGGACACTTGGCTACTTAGAACGTCGCTCCAGTGAAATATGATCATTCATCTGTTCTTTGCTCATGGGTTTGTGTATTACAGATACAGCAGCTCTAGCAGCATCTGGTTAGACTCTGCAGCAAGGATTGTGGTTATGGATTATTGGATAATGAGACTATGAGAAGAATGGAGTATAAGATGAAGTTGGTGAAACCTCTTGGTTTGCTGGGTAAAAGTTGCATTTGCACCTCTTCAGGCAACTGCTAGGTTGTAGAAAATGCGATAAATCATTAAGACCAGGAAAAAAAGAAAGAATTCTACTTTAGGGAGCATAATGGGCATCCAACAAATATGCAGTACTGTTTAGCACTTGAATCATTCTGCTTAGCTTTCCTTTTCACTGGAAGAACACAAGTTTCAGGAAGCAAAGCTTTTAACTGGAACCAAGAGTCATAAGCATGTAATGAAATAATAATTCCATTTTATGTCCTCACTGACATTTTTTTTTACTTATTCTTTTTTTTAAGGAAGTACATGGAGCTTTACAGTGAAAAATATGATTCATCAAACACCATGATACATGTGTGGAAAGGATCACAATAACCCCCAGTGGCATTTCCTGTTTTACTCTACTTGGCAAATTTTAATGGTAAGGTTTTGGATTTGGAAACCTAGTAATGAAAGGCTCAAGATCATAAGATAAACAAGATTGGAGAGCATATGGATAAAGGACATCTGCTGGGAAGCAGAGAACTTTTAAGTTCTCCCAGCCGTAGGCAGATTTGGAATAGCTTTACTACACAGATAAAAGCATTTTGGGTCATGAAAGTGGACAAGGAAGAGAAAACCAGAAGGCTGGGAAAGTAGGCAAGAGAAAGAGAAGGACATGGGTCATTTTTCAAGTTTTGATCAAATTAGACCAAACACATCAAGCAAAATTCACTCAGTGTCCAAGGCTGACTTTGGTGAGTCTTTGGTCTGTCACTCCTGGGTTACAGGCATCCATTTATGCCTTCATACAGTAAAATAATCTTTGTTCTCATCCAATTTATTAGAGCCCTTGTTAGTTCCACAGCCTTTGCTTCAGTTGGATGCCATGCTCATCTTTCCTCAGGATTGCCATCCATAAACCATAGTTTGAGTAGTGTCCTATAACAAAATATTACATTCTCCCTAACCACCTGAAGAGGTGGCATAAGTTTTTGTCACTCACAGTTTTGTGAACTATCGTTAATTTCTTATTCTGGATCTGGGAATTGTTAAGCTCAACAACTCGTGCAGCTGTGTTTATATTCTTGTTGCAGTGACTTTTCCAAGGTAACACGGCACTTTTGCAACTCTCTAGAAGAGAAAGACGTCAGAGATCTCAGCCCAGTTCTGGAGAGATGAATAATACCTGGCCCAGTGCAGATTATTTCATAAATATGCCACAGAAGATGTGCCAGCTTTGCCTTCAAGCCTGCTTACTGACAGGAAGAGAAGATCTGGTCCACAGAATAACCAGAGCACAAGATAGACACAGCACCTAGATGACACCAGTCATAAGAGGTCGCATATGGAAATGAGCACAGATTAATTAACATGGGTCCATTCTGGAAGAGAAGGAAGCAGGAATAAAGAACACAAACTATCTTCTGAATTAGCACTGGGAAATATGTGAAGCAGGTCATGTCAGTGTATTTTCTGTGACTGAAGCTGAACTTCTTGTGCCTCTAATACCCCCATAATAGGTTGAAAAAAAACCTGAATTATAACAACAAGCTTGATCCCTCAATTTAGCTGGTGATTTTCTCCTGTTTCCTGTCTTGTAGACCTGCCCACGCATGGTTTGGTTGTGGCTTTGCCCAGATAACAGCTGTGCAGTTACACTACCCAAAGAGCAAGTGTGTGTTTAGAAGAGTAACACTTGGGGTCACATTTCCTGCATGACCCAAGAAGATGATAAATATTCTGTGCCCCTGCCCCATAGCTTACTTTGCTTAGCATATGGACAAGAATGAATTGCCATCATGTCACCCTGCCTGAAAGAGCAGACACATAGCTGCAGAGATGAACAGCAAGCTCAAGACCTTAAAGTGATCTTCTATACCCCTAAAAGGGATTAGGACCACAATTTTCTCAAGCTTGACAAGTCTTTCAGTGCATTATCTGATCTGAAACTCACCTTCTCCAGGATATATATCTCTCCCAAAAATACATAGTTTGTATCCACATTTATTTTCAAGAATATCTGGCATGATTTGGTAAACAAAATATTCCACAAAATTAGCTTCATCGGTGCGGCTTTTGGGGTAGATAACATATGCATCATATATCTTCCCATCTGTAAGGCAAAACCAGAAACAAGTGTACTGTGTTAACATGGATAGAGAAATTAAAATATCAGCCTTTGAAATAGATCTAAGTACAAGTTCCAGGTAATCTGAATAATGTATTTCATTGGGTACAGGTTTGGAAATTAGAGACTGTGCATAGTTGGTGTTTTCAACGCTTAGTTGTTATGTCTTGAGTAACTTTGGAGAACATGATCTCAGTATTATGAAAGATATATCTCAAAGAATACAAAATAAGAATACAATTGATTGATATATATTAGAATGAAACAGAGAGGAAGCTCATCATTTGTTATTTCAGTGATTCAGTAGGCTGTTAACAACCTTTGTCTTTCAGGACAAGACACTCTTATTCAATTCTTCCATTGTGAGGAAATTACTCATAATTCCCACAACATATCATACTTCTGACTAAAAAGCTCCATTACTTGGGAAGCAGCCTTGCAGCCAGAACTAAGTACAACGTCCAATTTTTCCTCTGCTTGTTTCTTCATTTCTCTCAAAATCTGTGTTATATGTTCAGTTTCTGGCCATCACAAATTACTCAAGATGCCTGTGCTTAGACGACTGATGCACAAAGTGCAAGTGTCTGCTCAACTCAGATGATTGTATTGATGAGGGGCTGAATTCGGTCACCTAAAGGCATAGAATCAAAATTGGTTTGGACCATATAGTGTCACTGGACACTGCTTGCAGTTCAGCTGCCACTGCAGAGTGGTTCAGGTCTCTCTGAAATCCTAAGGGAGATCCAATGGCACTAGCTTCTTATGGTTAAAAAGCTAAACTCAGCCTTGGGTCTCTAGGTTTCATGTCTGTGCATGAACTTGCATGTGTGCAGCTTCATTGCATGCAACTAAATTTAGATCTCTGACTCTTGAGCTGAAGTCACCTCTAAAATTGGAAGGGATGTATTCTCAAAAAAAAAAAAAAAAAAAAGGTATTCCACAACATTGATACCTTTCTGTTTGGCTTATAAAAACTGCATAGCCCTAACATGTACCTGTTCACACACTGGTCAGCAGGCTGAATCCTTTGTTTTAGACAGCATGCAACGAGTACAGTTAATAGCACTGTAAATGGGATTTTCACTGTCATTCAATGTTTAATTGCAAATGTTTTTGTTTAAGAAAACAGGAAACCAGGAATGAATCCCTCTTTTATGTAATACACCACTGCAGAACCCAGGAAACCAGGGAATGTAAAGCACTACCAGAGCTATGTATGTCCCCTCTTATTTAAACAATTTCAGAAGGCATGAGAAAGTGAATGATCAAGTTCAGGTGTCATATGAGTTAGTAAGCAACTACCAAATACATGCGTTTCCATACAATTTTACTTATTCCTTTCTTAAAACTTTCTTGCTCAATTCCTACTCACCGTCCTTGACTGAGTAGGGCTGAAATATCTCCCGGTACAATAGAACGATATCAACTCGGAAGTACTGATAAAGTGTAACAGAGACTGCCATTGTAACTAACAGAACAAGAGCTCCTGCTATCAGGAGGACGTTAGGAAAACCCACTGCAAAGAAAAGAAGCATATGGTTAGCTGTAGAGAATTTAACCTATGGGCTGAACCTCAGCCTCTCATATTCTTACTTCTGTTGCAGCTTCTGTTGCAGCTCACAACTGGCCACAAAGTTTTTTCCTTCCCCAGCCGGGGCAGCCAACACAGAGACCTCTACACTAGAAGCATACTAAGCAACATAGAATTAATATTTACTTAGTTTGGATCCAGACCTACCTATACTAAATACATCTGACAATGATGTTGACGTATTTTTTTTTAACATTGGAAAACTCTTAATAACATAACGAGCAAAAATGTTCAAGCTTTTTGTAAGACGTCTAAGCCTACGCGTGACAACAGTTTAAGTGGCCACAAAAGGACAAGCGGAGGCTTCCGGCATAGTTGCACAACCAGGGTACAGAGAAATGTACAAATAATGAAATCTGCAAGATAAGAACAAAGTACACAAACCAAGCAGGAAAACAGAACATGTCTTGGTCATAAAAATAAATTAAACTGTGCTGGAGGCAGATAATGCTCTCCCCTGCTTTTTTCTTTAAAGAGGATCAAGGAGCATGAGATAGCAATGATGGGTAAGGAAAACTGGGAAAGAAATGAGTCACCCACTTTAGTTTCAGCTTCCCTTGTGGAAGAGCTCTTGAATCTGGCCACTTCCACCTCAGAGACAAAGCCCTATCAAGGATAGGTTCAGACTAGATATAAGGAAGAAACTTTTTTACAGTGAAGGTGGTGAGACAGTGGAACAGGTTGCCTAGAGAGGTGGTAGAAGCCCCATCCCTAGAAACACTCAAGGTCAAGCTGGACAAGGCTCTGAGCAGCCTGATCTCTTTGAAGATGACCCTGCTCACTGCAGGTTGGACTAGATGACTTTTAAAGGTCTTTAAACTCAAACTATTCTGTGATTCTACGATTCTCTAAGGATGGCAGTCACAAGCTCTGTGCTATCATATGCACACAGCTAGTCTAGGACAAGATTGTGATTATCACTCTTCTAGGGAACAGCTATATTTCTATCACAAACCAGTTAGCTGCATTTCTGTAACAGTCCATTTTTCCTCTTGTTCTGTGGTTCACAGAGCAGAAATCAATCTAGATATATGCATCCTCCAGATGGCATCTAGTTCTCCTGCAGCAAGAGATCAGAGGTAAGAGCAAGGTCATGATGTACCCTACAAACTAGAAAGGTGAAGCTTAATCTACAGATTGTTACAGCCACAAAGCTGAAGAAAATACTTTTGATCTATGTCCTGGACATAAGTGAATTCATCCAGGATTCAGTACTGAAAACACAATGAATTCCAGATAGCAAAAGTTTTGTACAGCAGTCACACAAAAAGGATTCATTATTCCCTTGGAGGAAAGATTAATGGCAATTGTCTCAAAGTAGAAATCTGCTCCTAAGCAAATGAAAAATCTACTTGGTTCTAACATGTAGGCTCAGAGCAGTTTCATGTACATTTTTTCTCTGATGACTAAACTCATCCAGACATTTCCATGCAAGGTTCACCTTCTTTACCTAATTATTCCTGCCCAGCATGACAACTTAGCTTTACAACTAGAGTTGTAATCATAATACTGCTTTCGGGACTATTCTGTGATTCAGATGACTGAAATTATTTTGATTTAAAAATATACTTCCAGAGGTGTCAGACTGAGTGATGGACTTCTACTCCTATATAAATACACATGAAAATGTCCAGATTGTGTATCACATCTGCATAAAAGGGTTGATCTTTTCTTATTTTATCATGATATAGGAAATACAATAATATCACTAGAATATCACTAGAAGCATGTACGCCTTCATTGTTACAATGAGATCTGACGTATGCTGCTATTTCAAAATTGTCTTAGCTGAGGAAAAAAATATTCCTTTAAATGTTGACCACATACAAATTTAAATGCAATCATTTTGGCAATAGAAACATGGAGGTCAGTTCTGGCATCCTCATTATAAAGATGCTTCACAGCATTTCAACCTGTGGAGGGTGATTTCATCTACAGAAGGGACAGCAAGACAGATTGTAAAGTGCTGCAGATGGGATGCAGCCAGTAAGCATGCTGCCAAGAGAAGGCACTGACCTCCACCAAGGAGCAGAGCTTTGCTTGGACTTCACACTAAGTGAATGAAATAAGATAAAATATTTAGCAGTGAAGAGTCTCTTATTTTGAAATTTACAGGTTCTCCAGGAGATGCTGAATAAGGCAGTGTGTTGAGTAGTCCTTGCAGAGGCAACTTAAAAAACATTTGTGCCTGATAAATTTGACTGACAAAGTATATAAATAAAGAGCTGACAAATACATTTTCCCTCTCCTCTGGTAGGATATGAGGTAAATTTGACATGATTTTCCCACTCTTCCTGGTCCTTTCTTTGCCATTTAAAGGGAGAAAGTAACATCAAGCATGTGAAGAAGCATACCTCACTGGAATTAGAAGACCTGGAGTAACTACCTTCCAAAATTATTCAAGTACGCAAGAAAATAATCTGTTTCTTTGCAGTCAAGTTTGGCCATCTTGTAGTCTTAACAGTGTCATGTGATGCTCACGAGTATTCTTTGTCAGTGTGGACACCTTCAAATTTTATTATTTGATCCATTTTCCTGCTCAATACACACAAGCACAGACAAAATTAGGAAAACTAATCAGGAATGACCCAAGCATCAGAGATGGCCACTGTTTCTTATTGCTTCACTTGTTGAGAGCATGCTTGCCATGACATTACAAATACTGTCATAACTCATTAAGTATTTATAAAGCATGTAGAAAAGCAACAGATTCCAACAACAACTTCTAAAACCTAAAAAATGCTGTTTGCATTAGGTTTTGCACTGATTAGATGAATGCTGGAAAAGAAGCGGCAAGCTTCCTGTGCTTATACAGCTTGCAAAGCATCAGACAAGTACCCCACAGGGATTCAGTTCCCAGTAAGGCTGACTCAGCCTCTCATTTCTCTGGATCAAATCAACTGTCTTCAGCATGGTAGAGACAAGGGCCAGAAGACATGTTTGGAGGTCCTGAACAAGATTGAACAGATCCTGTTTTTCCACTTGACTATGATACATAATTTTGTAGTAAAGACTTAACCAGTAGACTGTCTTCTAATGTTATTTATTTATATTGGAGAGCAATGGGAATACAGAACTATCAGCTCACAAGAAACAATTTTGGAGATGCCAGAGTAAACAAGTCAGAAAGCAACATTTGAAGGATTTCCTGGCAAACTCCAGAAGAACAAAACAGTTTTTTGTAACTTCTCTGTCTTCTAAGGGGGACGCGCTTCCAGGCAGTAAAAGCAAACCTTTGGATCTGGAATTCCTTTCCACATCCACCTAACAAAAATGAGCCAAAAGGTTAGTTTCAGTGTTAAACATCTTTGAGGAAAAACCGAGCTGATGTTCTGGGCTGAACTTTATCTGAATCATCGGAATTTCCGGCATTTTCCAGAGAAGAGGGTTCATGCAGGAAAGATTGATGGTGTGCATTTTACACCTCCTTTTGAATGAGCATTGAGGAATGTTCAGAGAGAAACAAGATTACGCTTGTGGTTCAGACATATGAAAAGCCACCTCATCATTTAACCAGCCCTGAATTAAGATGGGGAACTACAAGCCAGTGCCAGCTTATACATTAATAAAAAGGGAAAGACTTGGAAGGTATTCAGGCAGCCCATGTATTCCCAGTAAAGAGGTTAAATGGGTTGCTGAATGGATGTTCCTGTCCTGACTCAGCTCTGCTGGTAGAAGGAGTCAACACTTCCAGTTTCCCCAATTACTTGTCATTGCCTCTGTCTCAGAAGCTAACAGCTTCCCACCCTCTGCCAGCAGAGCTACTTTGGTGAGCACTGATCCACTTCAGTAATCAATGAGCTGAACTGGCATGAACAGTGTAGCCAATTTAGTTTTCTCTTGCTTGAGTGGTGGCATCTTCCAGCATGAGAGATACTAAGCAGCTGTGGAGGGCAACTGTGGGTAGTCTGGCAGGCAGAGTTGCTGTCTTTTGCCAGGTGTCCAGCAAGACTGGCTACACCTTTGTCAGGAGAGGTGAAAAAGAAGGAAATAAAAAGTTGTCACAAATTCCTTAGCCTTACAGTGTCCAGAGGCACACCACACAAAGTTATGAACATGATCTCAGAACACACGGCAGAACATGTTTTGTGGCAGACAGGGAATGTAAAATCTGGATCATCAGCATCTCTGAATATTAGAAAGTGAGATACAAGACTGAAAGAGGAAATGAGAGAGCCTTTATTTTCTGTAAAGAGGTATTGTAAGACATGAAGAATCCTTTTATGAAGAAGTCAGATAATATCAAACAGCTTCAGGCAGAGAAGGGAGAAATAGGATGGAAAATAGTGTAGAAGAATGGCTTCTGTATTGACTGGGCATGTTAAAAGTCTAGGTAGGGGATGGATGAGGAAAAGAAATAGAGAAGATCTTCCACAGCAGGGGAAGCAGCCTGTGAATATAGCTGCAGCAGCAGCTGAAGAATGCAGGGCCACTAGCACTTCCTAACAGAGGCAAGAACACAGCTGCAGAGACTCAAAATTCATAGCCAAATGGTAATTAAATTCTTGTGACAAAACAAAGGAGTTCGTCTGATTTCCTTGTGTCTAAAAGGCGTAATGTTCATAGTCTGGGTACCACCAAATCACACCAAAAGTAGCTGACTGCATTCCATTACTCCTGATCACTAAGGAACTTGGTTCATGTAGCTCATTTCTAAAGAACTGATCAGCTTCTCCTAGCAGCATTTATTTCCTACTGAAAAAAACAGGTGGAAAGACACTTGGGACAAACACTTGAGGCAGACACTTTTTTCACAATGCAGCACTTCTCTTCACATACATATGTGTATACATACATGTGTGCACAGTATTTATCTTAAACTGGACAATATACCTTTTTCCCTGTGAAATGTCAAGCAGCTTTGCCGATGACATCCATTCCTGGTAGTATTAAGGGAATATTTTTGTTATCCACGGAGACAAAAACAAACAGCTCTCACCAACGCTTGACTGTGAAAAAAACCCTCTTTTTCTCATCACTTCTCTATGGAAAGTTTTTTCTTATGTGGATTACAATTATTATCAAAGCAAATTGTTAGCATTAATTATAACAATATATAAGTGAGTTAGGACTTAAAGGATTTAATTATGACTCAGAAATATAGATTTAATTCCTGGTTCCCAAAGAAAATTTCCATGTGTTGATCCAAACCACTCATTCAGCAGGTTTTTTAAAACAAAGACTGAATAGGTACTAACACAGAGGACCTCCAATGCAATTGCTTACACCATCTTTGCTTCCTCTTCTAGTCTGTCATCTGTGCTGCTAAACACTATGTGTTTAGTTCATTAAATGCTCCCAAAATGGGTTACTTTGAGTAATGAGTGGCACCTCTTTCTACTTAACACAGATCTGTGCTACAAATAGTGAGAATGTAACCCATACTTTGAAAGAAAAATAATCAGAATACAGAGCAGGAACTTGTGTAAAAAGCACATTAACAGGATAGTAGTTGGCAGACACAAATTGTGCTGTGGAAAACACTAAGGAACAACTACATATTAAAAAAAAAAAAAAAAAAGACCCACACAACTGGTTTTTCCCATTACAAAAAACAACAAACAAACAAACAAACAAAACACAAAACAACCAAATAAAAGTACACATTTTTATTACACATTTACAAGATGAGAGGCACAAGCAAACCCTACAGCATTTTTATTACACTCAGAGGCAAGCTGACACTGTTTAGCACAAATATTGCTCAGCTGTGTGATGAGTGAACAAAGAAAACTAAAGCAGAGCACAACCATTTCTGAGTGTAGCGTTGCTTACACCAACAGTGCTGAGGAGCAGAAGCAGGCATCTTGACAACAGCAGCATAATGGAGAAGGGGACAGACATCCACACAAAAGAGGCAGCAGTAAAGGAAGCTCACAGTCAAGAGCTTTCATGAATATTTACTGAAGACCTACGGATAAAAAACAAAATAAGCTTTGTCTGCAACAGAAGCCAAATTCAATTAA